AAAGACCCACCCCAAGTTTTAGAATCTTATGTAAATAACTGAGATGAACCAACTTACCTCATTTGTTAAAGAAAACATTGTTGTTCATAGAGATCACGAGTTCGAGCACCAGTGGCTGTAGCAAGGTGATTGAGTTTTTATTGTCAAATGATTGAGAGTATTTACAACAGATATTACTTTGTAATCGTTTAGCTTAATTAGAAGAATGATGTAAATAACTGGTTTCATAGGTTTATAAATTTTAGGTCAAATTATGATTTTAACTCACTATAATTTGGTCTGTCTACTATGATTAATATTACTTGTTAATCCAAAATCATTATGAAGGTAAAAAATTCTATGAGTAGGTTGATGTGTATTTTGTCTTTTTAACATAACAAAAATTCTAAATCTTTAAACATCAAGATTTTTTTTGTTGCTCTCCCGTTTTCAAGGCTTTGTCATGACTAATCTAAAACGACCCGCGTAACACACCTGGCTTTGATGGGTGAGTCTCCTAATAGAGATTTTCTACATGTACAATGACTCGAAATCAAGACCTTGCTTAAGTGATACTAAATTGCTTACCATTTGAACCAACCCCTATTGGTAAACATGAAGAATTTCAAAGTCCATGGCGTGAAGTGGAAACAAACAAAAGATGGACGACAAAAATTGCAAACAAACAAATTTGTACCTATCAATAATACAATGTGTTGTCAAAACAGGGGCCTGGGGTCCGACTCGGCCTGCTTTTCTTTGCAGTTTACAGAGATATCAATGCTACATTTCTGTAATTTTTTTCCCTTATTATTATCACTGGAATACATATTTTTTTATATAACTGCAAAAAATGAAAATGTGCATCGAATATTTTTGTACTTTATATTATGATTGCACGATTTTTCATTATAATAGTGTTGCTATTTCGTAGTTTGCCAGTTTGAAACTATCATAAAAAAGGTACTCATTGCAGAGTAAGTATATTTATGAGGCGTGTGGTTTATAGAATGTAAGATTATCTTTAAAAATAACATTACTGAAATATAACATTATTATAAGAATATTGTATTATCTTATTTGGTTTGTTTAATAGGAATATAAAATTATAGTGTTTGGTTAAAAGAATATAAGATTACTTGGTTACATATTTTACCAAATTATCCTTGTGATATATTTTTTTAAAGTTAATCTTTAATATTAATTTATAAATATTTGAATGAAAATTCATAAAAATATTTTAATTAGTATACTATCTAACTATTGAGGAAAAATTACATTTAATATATAATAATTAATATAATTAGTATATTAAATTTATATTTTTAAATAATGTTCATAAGTATCATATTTATTTATATAAAATATAATATAAAAAATAATATTATGGTAGTAAAATATTATTTTAAATAATTACATTTTTACAATAATACTCTTTTTTTCATCCTATAAAATTATAAATAGTAAAGTATTGAATATTAAAAATATAAATATTTTAAATTCTCAGAATTATTAATATTTTAGTAAATCAAAATCTTTGTATATTATTATTATTTTTATAATTTTGAGTAAAATATAAAAAATAAGAATTTAAAAAAATCATTATAAAAAGAATTCATTAGTCCAAGGGTATTCTTGTCCAAAGTGGTGGGAATGTAAAATTACCTAAGAATTTGGAGGTAATGACATTCTCACCATTTTAACTAAAAAATGCTAATATTGGGAAAAGAGTATTCCCAGTAATGTAAAATTCCGTTGACCAAACGTGGGAATACAATTCCAGAAAAAAAACATTTCCTTTGGTAATGTAAGATTCCGCGAACCAAACTCACCCTTACTGATATCTTTTTTTTTTCGTTTTAGTTTATATATAAATTATTTTTAGGTGAACTTTTATTGATTTTTTTCACAAACCAGTTTACTGTGAAGTTGTAGTTGAATTTATTTAATTTTAAAATATATATTTAAATTACTAAAAAGATTAAAAAAAAATTCTTGCAATAAATTTTCACTTTTAATATTTGGCTTAATACCAAATTAAGTACTTAAATTCTCGAATAGGTACATAAACTATTTTTTGACATATTTTGGTGTCAAATGTTACAAACGTTACCCATTAAGATGCTCAGGCAATCAACGACATTAATTTTTCCATTAAATGACACGCGTTATAATATGATAATTTTAGAATTTTTTTTAAAAAAAATAAAAACTAAAAAAAAATTTATTTTCGAAAAAGGCACATTTTTTTTTTCAAAAATATAAAAAAACTTCAAACTCTTAAAACTTCTTATTCTAGTCTCATTTACTCCAACTTTCAGTTATCTCCGACCACCCATTCGCCGACTACCAACCACCCAATAACCTGTCACAACTCTTACCATCATCTCAAAACCCAAATTCTCAAATCCCTAAATTTAAATTTTTAATCTCTAAAATCTCAAATACTCAATCCTTCAAATTCAATCGTGATAATCGATCGTTTCGTCGATCATGACACCCAACCATTTGGTCAGTCGTTTAATCGGCCTTTTAGCCTTTGGCCATGGAAGGAGGGAGAAAGGGAGGGAAAAGAGGGGCACGCAGGGAAGAAAGGTTCTGTTTTTTTTTATTTAATTTTTTAATAATTTTTTTTAATTTTTTTTAAAAATTCTAAGATTGTGATACATGTTACTTAACGAGATTTTATAACGACCGTATGATCGAGACACCTAAATGGATAGCGTTTGTAATGTTAGGCACCGGGATAAGTCAAAAAATAATATAGGCACCTATTCGAGTATTCGAGAATTTAGATATAGTTTAGGCACATATTTTAGTATTAAGCCTTAATATTTTGTCTCTCTAAATTAAATTAGTGATATAGTTAAATATTATGATGCAGTTTTACCTAGTAAAACCATATTTTAGCTGTAAAAGCTTAACGTCACTGATAATAATAATTAGGGTAAGAGTTTCCGAATGCTATTCTCCAAGTGGGCTATGAGTTATCATAAAAGCCCAAATTTCAAATCAAACTCATCAATAGCGACTTGGATGGGTGAACGTGTACAAAATTTCACTATACATTTCTTCGGGTAAACGACATTAGATACCATCGAACTTCAGGCGTTGTATCTTTTATTTCATTGAATTTTTAATTTTACCAATTATAGTACTAAATATTGGTTTAAATTATGTCACTGAACCATTAAATCGTTAACAACACGATGATGTGGCCGACATCTGTCGACGTGGTTGATGGCTGCCAACGTAGATACCTCACCAAAACGACGACGTTTTAATTCGAATGTTAAAGATTTAATGGTCTAATGGTACAATTGAAACGTAAATCAAAGTTCAGTGTAATGCTATAATAGATAAAATGGAAAGTTTAGTGGTATAAACAATATAACATTAAAAGTTTAGTGATATCTGGTGAAGTTTACCCCATTTTTTATAGTATGAAGTGATTATAAGGTAATATTTGTTCAAAATCTTTTTAGTTATTAGCAGCATTAACACACTTTACAAACACAATAGCTCGAATTCATATTTTCTAAAAAAATAACATTTTTTTTATCATTGAGTATGTTAAATAAATTCAATTTCATTACACTTTCTTTTTCCAATTCGGAGTAAGAATATGATTATTGATTTTTTTTTAATTTATGTGGTATGATAGTTGTTTGTTCAAAGTTTAAGTTTTTAATTAAATTTATAATGTACTGATAAATAATATCACTGTAATCTTAATTAACATTAACTTTCGGTTTAATCTTAAATAGGAATGGGCATGAGACCCGAATTCGACGTGTTATGACCTGACCCGATCGAATTGGATTTTTTTTAAAAAATTGGGTTAGCCCGGGTCAGGTTTTTTTAAAGTTATGTTCGGGTCAGGTTTAGGTTTAGAGTGAAAAATACTTGATCAGTCCGACCCGAAAAAAGTTATAATTTTATCTTATATATTTAAGGATAATTACAATAATATACCTATATATTATTTTCGTTCAATTAAATTGCTATTTTTATTAAAAAAAGATAATATTTTTTAATAAATATATTATTTCAGGTCAGGTCAGATTCAGATTTTATCTCAAAAAACCGGATTGGATTCGAGTCGAGTGAAAAATATATATTTTGCAGATTGGATTCTAGCCGGGTGGAGGATTTAAAATTTTTGGGTCGAGTTGTATAGACCGAAAATCTGATCCAACCCGACTCATACCCATCCCTAATCTTAAACAACTCTAATCCTTCTTTCTATGATCTTATCTAAAAGAAAAAGATCTCTTAACTATGTGACCACATGGCCGGATTAAGGTAGGTCCAATCTTGGATTTTCCTCCAACTAGATAGATATTGATTATTAATGCATAAGACAAACAAGTTTACATTTTTTTTCTCACAAAACTTGAACTTCCTAATCGGAAAATGTTACAATAGATGTTCACGAACCGTGACAAGCTATAAACAGCCTTTTAATTACAAACTATATTTTTTTATTAATCTAAGATAATTACAAAATAATATTTATCCTAAATATTTTTCACAATTTGACAATAAAAACTCAAACACCCTTTACAATCTCTGGTGCCCAAACATGAGATCTCTGAAATAACAACTATTCATTTAATCACTAAGGTAACTTGATTCGTAATGCTTCAAACTATATTTTTAAATAGACAATTTAACCATCATATTTAATTAAACATTATAATAATAAAATAAATAGTTAATATATGTTCGTGATCATCTAACAATATCAATATAGTTAATATAGGAAAAAAGAACAAAGAGGGAGAGAAAGAGAGGCTCGATACGGATTGCATCCACCTACAACATTACCCTTTCTAAAACATTTTAGAAATAAATTTAAATCGTTTTTACGAATAATATATAAAATTATATGAATTAAAGACATTAAAAGAAATTAATTAATTGACTAAGTGATCAAGGTGTTTACGTTGTCTGATCTTATATTGATTCAAGCTCTGATATTTATCTTGAAAATATAAACATACTTCTACTTAATAAAAAACACAAAATAAAAGGCACTAGAAGAGATTGTTAAGGCGAGTGTCCGAGTTATTCATGTCATCGAGATCGCGAGGAGGCGAATGAGCGTGCCTCCCTTCGTAGCTTGTAATCACCATTCTTGGATCCTCCGCTGATCTCTCCACTCGTTTCTTTACTCGACAATTATCTTGCGTACATCGATAGTAGCTCCTGCATTCAGTCCAAATTCAATTTTTCATTGTAGAAAGAGCTCGAAACTGTGAAAATGAAGTAGAAAACTAAGGGTTCTTGTTGTAAGAATGTGAAGGCTTGAATGTGAACTAAGTGATGATGAAGTTGATCAAAGTATGATAAATCGTTAGTTATGATTATTACCAGTTTGAAAAAGTAGGTTTCCTCTTTCACATAAGTCAGGGCTTGGAGGCCCTACTTGCTGCATCCTCATTATTTCGTTTGGAAAACATCACTCTCCCACAAATATCATACTATTCAACCCACACTTGTGTTCCATTATTTCGTTTGAATAACTAGCAAATTTACTACCTAATGGTCTCTACAAAACCCATATTTAAAATAAATAAATAAATGATAATCAACCCTAAAATTATACATATATGTAGGTGCATAATGATGTAATCTTTATTCAGAGTCAAAATCATTGCCTTACATTTACTACTTTGTAAGCAAAATTTACCTACTGGATTGAGACATTAGATTCCTTAAGCATGATGAAGAGTTTGAATCCTAACTTTGGTGAATAGAGCAAACTAGGTTGGGAGAGTTAGGACCGCCTATGTAATATCCGATCTGAATTAGTTGATTAATAAATCGGATACTTCATCATATATATATATATATTATATTATTAGTTAGCTAGGCAGGTTCTTAGCATGATATGATCACTGCACGCACTATGTGTAAATCTATTCATTTTATCAATAACCTGATATAACATAAAGAATTTGTCTTTTTCTATTGATTCGTTGGGATTGGTTCTTGCTGGGTGTAAAAAAAAACTATATCGGTTTCACCTCCTACTTTTATGAAAATATATGAACTTTTTATCAAAATATCAAAAAAATTGGGTCATCTCTTGTGAGAACAATTTAAAAAATCCGTACAAATCAGATAATTTCAGTGAATAAAGAGATGATTATTATCTCTAGAGGTCTGAACATATCATCTGTAAAAGTATTTAAACATTTATTGTCAAATAATTTAAAACCCAAAATTTTAGCATTTGCTAACAACATAATTGAGGCGGTCAATTAAGAGATAATATGTCCGGTATAACACCTATGATCAACCAATGATCGAGTGGTCATTGTTCAATGATGAAGCAGTAGGACTCACTGTTTTTTTTATATTATTAGAGGTGATTATAAATAGTATCAGTAGACTCATTAAAGTGATTATAAAATAATATAAGTAGACTCACCATTAACTGTCATTATTGTAATATAGAATATACACAATCGATTATAAGATTTTCCTACATATTATGTTTAACTTTTGTTACCGAAATGATGATAGCTGCTGAATTTTCAAATGATTCGTGGCATGGAACAGTGAACATCTATTTAATTCAATAGAATATTTCAATATAGTTTCATTATGGCCTTGCCAATTCGCTACGTATATCTCTAACTTTTGGCATTGTTAAAGATCTTCTAGGCCTTATAATTTATCAATTATTCTATATAATTTGCCCCTTTTTATTGTGGTTTCGTATCTTTTGAAGCTAATAATTAGTTCTTTTAGGCTTTAAAATTTATTTTATCTATTTGTGATTTCATGATTAAAATCTCCATCAATTTCACATCTCATGCAATATGAGTACCGTAAAGCCTAGTAGTCATGATAACCAAAGTATAATAACATAACAGGGAAACATGGCATGTGTAGGAAGTGGCGGATGTATGTCATGAATTTGAAATTTCAGGATGCGACTACGGGTACTCCTACACCCTTCGTTAGTAATTGAGATCTAAATGTTAAAAAGAGAAGAGAAAAGAGAAAAGTATTTTTGTGTGAACCTGGGATGGTGGGTGTTCTTTACCACTTTCTGGCCGTATTTTCTCCACTTGTATCCATCATCAAGGACGTCCACATCGCTCATGGTCTTGAAGCAAAACCTAGGTTCCCTTACCTTTCTTCTTGCTTTTATCCTCTTCATTTTCTTTGCTGAAACCCCTGGATGATCTTCTACGCCAATTTTCTTGCTTCCCAAACAGTCGTCTCCCCATGCCCTACAATCACGAGATCAAATATATATTTCTAAAGAAGTTACACTTTGAAGAGATATCTCCATGAAAACCAATGTTTGTAATATTTTTGATGGACTATTGAAAACCATTTCATTTGCATGCAGGGAAGAAAACCAGGGACTAGGAATAATCTTTGCACCTGAAATTTGCTGTAGATGTCTGCAAAGAAAGGAGTTGGGTTTGAGATTGGGTTAGATGAAGCAGTTCATGAATATCAAAGGGTTTGAGACATGGATGATGGTAAGCAAATGGAAGAGGACAAGATGAAGTCGGGTTTTGTGGAAAAGTGAAGAAATCCATTTGAGAAACAGCAGCAAGCTTCTCTTTTTCATCGAACAAGCCCTGGGCTTGATGGGAGCTCCATGACATCTTCTATATCTTCTTTCTCTATACCTCTACAGGAGTCTTGTGGAGGATGGTGATAATAAAGGATTTGATGTTGGTTTTGCTTTTCCCTATGCGATCAGAGGTGAAGATATCATGCAAGAGGCCCTATTGACTTTTGCTCCCCAAAAGGATTCTTCACTTTTTGTATATACTTCTCCTTCCAAACGAAAATGAAACCCGACTATCTAGGGATCCCAAACGGGCGGGGCGGGGTGAAGTGGATACCCGTTCTTCCATCTCCATATTTTTCTAACATTTTTAAATCCACTATTTACCCACCACTCACTTTGGATAAATTTTTTAAATTCATACATATCCATATGTGTTTATTCTCAAATTTATCCTCACACCCACTATCTAACTAGATATTCACCATTCATCCCGCATTCATATGTATCTATTCATACTCACCAATTTGATATAGCAGAAACGACGTCTTCAATTCTAAAATTGTTTATACCTTAACATTTACTTAAATTATAAGTCATGTCCAATAAAATCTTAAGATTTACATAATAATCTATGAAATTATACTTAAATTTATAATGGTAAAAAAGTTACATGGCAGGTAGTTAGTGGGCGGGTAAATACAAGGTAGATAAAGTCTTAAACCCATCACTTACCTATTTTCTACGACGAGTATGATATTTTACATTCACATCCGCCTACTACCTATTAAAATTATATCTATCCCTACCCAAATTAGAATAGGTAGGATACAAATTTCACAAGATTATTCCCGTCTAATAGCCCTACCACCATTTATCATTCCAAACCCACCACCATTATGTTGTTATCATTTTCTCTTCAATATTCAACATAATAATTACACTTTTTAAAAATTAATTTCTTCTTTTTCTTTTCCTAGTTCTTAGTTTTCATTCCTAGATAAAATATACCTTGTGGACCATATATACCCTCCGCTTTCATCATTTTGATCACTGTGAACACTTAATTATCTCAATATTATTTACCTATTATGTTCATTTTGTACTTTTGATGGTAATTACATTTGTGATAAAGATAAAAAAAAACTTCCATTTTTTTAGAAAAAACAATGAGTGAACAAATAGGCGGGTGTATGATGGTTAAAAATCATTAGACAATTTTACAGATTATAAGGTTGTAGTTTTTGATCGATTGAAACTAAAATTGTGCATGAGCAAAGGAGCCTATAATGATGTATCTATACTTATAACATGCAGCATTTAATTTATATATAATTATAACTTGGTAATTAATTTAAAGTAGTTATATTTTTATTATTTTTAATTTACCCAATTGCATCCAATGCTATTATAAATTAATTTTTTATTGATTAATAATAATAAAATATTCCGATGCTAATGTTTTTCACAACTTTTCTTCTTTGAAATAATACTGGTTAATGATTCTAATATTTTTTTGCAAGACAAATATTTTGTTTTCTTTAAAATCTACATATAGTGGATAAAATGATTCTAAAGAAATCCATACAAGATCCACACTTAAATCAACCCGAAAAAGATAAATATAGCTTTAACATTTATAACGGTTGGAATGATTATAAGATAATATTTGTTCATAATCTTTTTTATCCATCGACAACACACATATTTTACAGACGTAGTTGTTCAAATCCAAACTTCACGGAGAATAACACTCCTTTTTTTACTATTAAAACCGGTTGATAAGTTCTTATTTTAACTATTGAACAAATAAACCAAATAATTAACATACTTATATATCGCAGTTGAAGCTGGCGAGGAACTAACGTCGCCATGACGTCGAAATCGTACGTTTAATTGGAATAATTATGAAGCATAATTTGCACTTTGAAGTGACCGATTTTGGGTTCTTGTTAAACGAGAGATGTTAAACCTAAAGTTCAAATAGTAATATTAGTTTATGGTATGGGCCCTAATTGGGGAAGATAAGGGGGTTTGCACTGGCAACCGTCAAGCCCCGTTTCATTTTGTCTGGTTATACCTAGCAACGGATTATTATGTCACTTACATTTCTTCTATTGCCTTACTAGTTTTAGCCTATAGTATTTGGCAAACCGGGATTCCGGGTTCACGACGAATCATATCTAGACTAATATTCCATGGAATGATTACACTACGCTCTCATATATATATATATATATATATATATATATATATAATAGAAAACAACTAGTTATATTGAAAATAAAAAAATATCTAGAATTATAATAAAGATTTACAAGTATAAATGTAAACTAAAATATAATTAGGATATTTTTTCTATAATCATTGATACAAAAACTAGCCACCTAGATCATACAAGGACAAAAAATCTCACACAAAATAAAGTTACGAACAAATCTGACTGCATCGACAAACGAACAACAAAAGAGGATAAAGCTACTGAAAGACTACCGAAAAATTGCAAATTTCAGTTGAGCAACACGAGAAAACTATCGACGAATGCAAAACGCGTATCCAAATCAATCCGAAGGTCCAAAGCAGGGAAGATAAAAATGATAACAAATAAGTGACATCTTGATCAGTTGTGGCGAGGCCAAATCTAACCCTTAGAAAAATATAAACAAAAACAATAACCAAATGATTGAAAACTACCAGAGAAAAACATGTCACAGAGGCATAGATAAACGTGTCGCAAAAATATAATTATTCTTATTAAAAAGCTAAAAAATAAACAAAGAGAAAAGACAGCCGAGGGTTGACAATCAACATCAAAACTGATGTCATTGTCGGCTAAAAAAATAGAAGAAGAAGAAGAAGAAGAAGAAGAATAATAAGTTGATTTGATCTATAGAAAATGACAGAAATTGTTAAAAAAGTAGGGGAAATGAGGGAGGAAGAGACTGACTAGGATTAATAAGAAAGTATTCTATATATTGTTTTCTATCTCACATGCTTTCAAACGATACAAATAGGATTATATATAACTTAAAATGATGTAAAGTTCAAAGTCACTATCAATAATTTTTTATGTGAGATTGGACCACTTAAAATCATATTATTTTAATAAAATGTTTTAGTGTGTGGAATCAAAAACTGAATTCGAGAGTCGATTACATGTTTCAGATGTGGGTCCGATAACTATTTCTTAAGGGATTGTCCAGAGTTAGCTCTCACCGTTCATACACGAGTTCAGACTGCCGCTCGTACTCAAAGTGCAGTTCTGGAACCAACTTCGGGTCATAATCAGTAGAAAGCATTTGGTTCTGCCAGTAGGGACCGACCTTCTCAGAGTAGGGGTACAGCTCGAATTGAGGCCAGATAGCCTGGGTTGTTATATGATTCCAGATGTCGACATGATTACGATGAGCCTGATGTTATTGCAACTACCATCACTATTTATACAATTAAATACTTTGCTTTATTTGATCTTGATTCTACCCATTATTTTTTATAGTATTTTGTATATGAAGCTCTCAATATTCTGGTTGAGAATACCTAGAGTTCTGTGAAAGTTCAGATTCTCGTAAGTTAGTTTGTAGAGTTGGACCGAGTTATAGAGGGGTCCTATAGAGATTTATAAGGAGACTTTGGAATCGATAGAGGCTCTGTTCTCGTATATGTTCATACGAAGTAAATTTTGAGGATGAAATTTCTTTTAAGGAGGTGAGTTATCACACCCCAATTCCAGGGCTAAAATTTTTCTTATCTTATTTTAGGGACTAAGTTGAAAATTTAGGGGAACATTTTAGTTAATTCCGAGTTTGAATCAGAAAGTTTTAAAAGTTGAAGGACCTAGGGAATAATTTACCTATTTTTTATTTTAGGTTGGTTTATACACCCTTAGTGTATGTTTTGTAGCTATATTTGCCAATGTGTGGAGGGGTGAGCGAAAGCAAAATTCTGATGAAGCGTAATCGAGTTCTCCTGTTAGGTTCGATGAAGCTCGTTCGATCAACTAAAAATGAGCCAACATAGGGTGAATTGGCTTTTTGAAATTTAGGGAGTAAGGAGTATAAGAATAAGAAAATTTGCATAATGATTTATAGTAGTTCAACTTATCAACCAAGTCTACATCCACTACCTAAGCTCCTCACTTAGGATTTTCCAACAAATCCACTAATTTATTCTTTCTTTTTCAAGGATAAAGAGATAAGCTTTACAACTCCCTAGTTTTTCACTTGGCTAAACTAGAACCAAAACCTCTTTATAAAGGATAAGAAATGTGTAAAAAAGAAGACCTCTCTAGGTTGGTGTTTACAAAGATTTAGCTCATAAAACAAAACCTAAGGATATACAATTAAGCTCAAAACACAAATATTTACAAGAGAAAGAAAACAAGGATTGAAAAACTTTTCTCTTGTGTATGAATGCTTGGATATGTGTTGGTCACTTTCTTCAAGTGTCTTGAACTTGTTTTTATAAGTTGGAATGAGTTACTAGCCGTTTTAGATCCATTAGAGATTAAAATTGTCATTACCTGCAACTTTTAAGGCACAAGGGATCGATCCTTTTTGGGAAGGGGTCGATCCTTTTCCTCAAGGGATCGATCCACTTGTTAAGGTATAGATCCCAAACTCACTGTTGTCTAATAGATCAATCCTTTGAGCCAGAGAAGCTTGGAAGCATGACTTTAAAAGGCAAAAATGATCTAATATGTTTTGAAAAGGTTCGACTAAGTTTGAAAAACATTTAAAAACACATTTTAACTTTTATTTGGACTTTGAATTATTTTTGAAGACTTTAAATAAATTCAATTTAGTCAAAAAACATTTTCCCCTTATTTGTTATATCAAAATATAAGTTCTACAATCTTCTCTTTTTGATATAGCAAAACTGTTGAAAAATAATCTTTGATAAAACTCTACCTTAATAAAACATTTAATGAAAAAGTGACATATTTTAGAAAACATTAAAGCTCCCATTTTTCATTCTTGAAATTGAATTTTTTAAACCTATACTTTTGCCCCTTTTTGTTATATCAAAAACAATTCAAACTTTAAGGTTCAAAAATAACAATGAAGGGTAAGTAGTAATTTTAGCATTAAAATCATTTGAAAAATCAAAAGCTCCCCTTCAACAAATGCATTCCAAACAAAAATTTGACTATAAAAGCTTGACACTTAAAAGACATTGAATTTCAACAAAGATGAACAAACAAGTTAGTAGCACATGAAATTCAATATATCCAAGTCTAAT